ATTTTTGTGGGATACCCTATATGAATGAGAAAATTAAGGACTTGAGAAATAACTTAATAACTCAGTGGAGGGCCTGGATTAGAATCCTGCTCTTCTTTTCCTATTAAACACCTCCTACCTTGCCAAGCTTTTTGCTGAAATTTGGAAAATACTATTCATCCTAACACCAATTTCCTTACATTAAAAAAAAAAAGGTACTGCTCATTTAGTTTTGGAACTGACTGGTTTTGAATCATCAGTGTCATATGAGACTTTTATCTCACTGATTTCCTTAGCTAAAAAATGAATAAGTTTATGTTCTCCATTCTTACATCACGTTGTCATGTGGCATGAGGGCTCTTGGACTCAATCCCTCTCAACAGTTGCCCTGATCAATCACTCAATAAAATTAAACTTTCAGAGTTAGAAAAGGTCTGAAAGTTGGTTTTACTCAGTTCTTATGAAATAGATACATTTTCATAAACTAATGTCTAATTTTCTTATGAAATACTTTGTATTAAGTAAGTGATTACCAACTTAAGTATAACTCATGTAAACGGCATTCATTTGTTCCTATAGATACGTTTCTTTACAAATATTATATGTTTTTTTCATATGTGCTTATTTTTACTCTTACCTAAGATTTTATTTGAGAGAGAGAGAGAAATTTTGGATCCCAGTTTGTTTGTTTTTTAAGACTGTCTGACTATTTGTCTCAATGGGAATTGAAGTCAGAGTGGACAGGAATTTAATGGACATGACCCAGAAATTCTAAATTCTAATCTCCAAATCTGTTTCTCCAAAGATGGGATGGCTTTCCAGTTCATTTGGCAACCTCTCAGTCCTCCTCCAATAGTTAGGGATAAATGACCCAGAACCAGGAGAGTTGATTATCAACATAGTGAAGGGGAGGATTTCAAAGAGCAAGAGAGGAGGCCTAATCACGTGGAGGGCCAGGGAATGGGTTTGGCAGCGTGACTTTCAGCCTTCAGCAGCCGCCTGGTGTGCTGTGGGGAAGAACCAAGAGGATCACTTCTTTTCTGATGGAGAAGACCAATCTCTCTTTGATCCTCCTCCAAGTCAAGTTTCTCCTCACTGCCTAGAAAAATACCTAATTCCGAGGACTGATGTGTCCTCGTCACACGTCTTTCTTTTGGGGGCAGTGGGAAAAACCTAAAGACATATAGAAAAAGACTAATAGTGGAAGGAAAGAAAAGACAAAGGGGAGCAAATGTGGAAACCCTCTAACTAGGAATAGAAAAGAGAAAGAAGGCAGGATGAACGGGAAGGGAAAGATCACAGAAAATAAAAAGCCCAGGGGAATAAGGAGAGAGAAAGAGAGAAAAGAAAACAGTGATTTATTTTTAAGAAAAGTGTCTCTCCTAAGTCCTCTAGGTCAAGAAGTCAGGCAAGGTGCAGAGCATGGAAAGGAAGCAGCAGAACATGGAAAGCAGGTAACGGACACTCAGTGCGTGATCCCGGAGACGCAGGAGTTCAGCCCCATGGGACTGAGAGTCCACACCGTGTTGGCCTCTACCCTGGTGTATTTCATCCAGGTAAGTTGTGAAAATGCGGGAATAACGCTTTTGTTTTTGTTTCTTGGATAAACCAACTCTCAGAAGAATCTGGGGGAAAATGAATGAGGGGGGGGAGACAAAAGGGGTAGTGGCAAATGAATAACTAGAATGTTTCCTTTGTTGTATAGGGTGACATAGTGCAAGTGTGACGAATGATAGCATCAGGGAAACGGGGGACAGAAATTAGGGCAACCGTAGATACAAGTCAGGTACCTATGGCAATTTAGAAATGCCACTTCCGCGTGCATATTTCTCTCTTTTAACATTTTATCACTCATCCCTCAAATTCCCAAGCAAATGATCAAAACTAGGTATGTAATTCTCTTAAATGGACTTTCCCACATCAGCCCTAATACTATTCTTGGAGTTCAAAGTTGCCTCCATTAAAAGAGGGAAACTCTTTAAAAATACTTTGGATCTTCCATTTCTCTCCCCACTAGAATTCAGAAGCCCCTGAGTAACTCATTTAGCTGGGAGAGGGGTCACTGGACTAAGGGATTCTGAACAACTTTCAAGGGGAAGTTTCCACAGCTATGAAATCCATTAGGGAGAGCAAATGAAGAAACTGCCTACTATCAGATTCCTGTACCACTTCTAGCAGGGCGTGGGTTGTGTCTGTTTTGCTTCCTGTAGAACAGTCAAATTAATGTCTGAAAATCCATTTCTTTTTCTTTTTCTTGTATTTTCTTTTTTGCTTCTTCTTCTCTCTCTTGACCTTCGCTTCCCTCCTTTTCTCTTCTCCTTCTCTTTTTGCAACAGGCCTGAAAGAGGCATTTATCTGCTGAGAACTTTCAGTGTTTCTAGCCTTTAGTCAAGAAAATGAAACCAAGTACCAAAACTGGGTTGAAGAAGCTCACACTTTGTCATCCTTAGTGGTCAACTATTTTAAATTAAAACAAAACCTGTAGTTTCTCAAATGTTATCAGCAGAAGGCAACTGTTAGGTCTTTTACAGAATCCTTTTCTGATACATTAGGAGTATGTGTGCGCTTCCCTCCCCACCCCCGCTAAAACCCCAAGTAAATGAAAATCTCTGTCCCTTTTTAGAGGACCTTTGTGGTCTTTGTTGTTGAGTTCCTGAAATACCAAGTCTTTCAAGTTATTGGAAGAGAGAAACAGTTTCTAGAACAAACGTTTATCTAGAGAGGTTTTTGAAGGAGAAAGTCAGCCAAAATGTAAGGTAGGAGAAGGAGTGGAAGTTTCTTTCTTTACAAGGAGTTGAAGGGACTTGCTAACAATGTCAAGGAGCTGTTAGAGCAGATTTTCCCCTGGTTCATTTGGGTTTCATTTGAGTTATAGCCAAATCAAGAGGTGTGTGCAGGTGGTCATGTTACTTAAACCCCTATGCCTTGGTCCCCTACCTATTTAAAATAAGGTTAAATATATCCACCTACGTGGTTATCATGATGAAATGTTAAGAAATATTAAAAATAATTAGCCATCTGACTGGCATATAGTAGCTACTCAATACGTTTTCTCAAATTCTTCTTCTCTCGTATGGTAAGTTATGGATGTACCGAGGGAATGAAAAA